CCTCCCCCTCCCCCCCTCCCTCCCCCAAAGCGATCGACGCCGACCCCGCCACCCCCCCGCCACTCTCCCTCGGGAGCGGCCAAGACGGGGGCGTCCAAGAGGGGGGGTGCAAATCATGGCCGGCGGCATGTGCTCGGCCCAGCGGGCGGGCCGGGGACGTATTGAAATAAGAAGAGGCGCCATGAAACCTGGGGAAATATCACGGCCCCCGCCATGAGATCCCCCCCCCAATCATCACCCCCCTCTTTGCCGCCCCCGACTCCCGCCAAGAAGGGGGCGGCGGGGCGCCCGGAGCAGTGACAGCGCGCTCGGGCGCTCTGGCTCGTCCGCGCCGGCGCGCCCACCCCCTCCGCGAGCTCTGGGCACCGCCCTGCCGCACGATCGAGGAGCGCGAAGTGACGAATCCGGGCATGCTCGCTTGGTGAGCAACGCGACGGGCGGTTCTGGGCAATGTCCCGCCTCCCAGGGGGGCCCTCGCTAGGGCCCCGGGACCGTCCGAACACGACCTGGCATGAAAAGCTGGCCCCCTGTGGGACAGGGCCGGGGCTTCACACTGACAAAAACACGACGTCGGAACCCGTGGCACCGTGCCCCCCTGGCACGTTGAGGCGCTGTGGGATGCCAAGGCTGTCTGGCAGGATTGCTGCAACCGTCTGAGGCGGCGACATCCGAACCCCACCTCCAGAAACCATCGATTCTCAAGAGTCGATGGGAAAAGAGGGGTCATGGACCCGAATTTCGCCTCGCGTTCGACAAATTCCGGACCCTGCCCCCGCCGCACATCGAGTTGCCTGAATCGTGGATCGGCGAGGGTAGGATTCGGGTTTCGCCGCCGACTTCTGAGACCCCCCTCTCGCCACACTCAGCTGCGTGCACCGAGACGCCCCCCATCACATGGAAAAGAAATATGAATCTGCGCTCCCGAGGCCACGAACCCCTGCAAAAACGGAGCACGGAACGACTCCAATTAGGAACCCCATTTCTTCCAAAACAACTCGACACAATTCCGAGCAGTGCAGTGCAAATCAAAACAATGCAAACCATTGCGTGGCGTACATTGGCGTTGTTTGGAACCGTTGCCTGGCATTGCATGGCATTGCATGGCAGCGGCTTTGAATTGCCTGGCATTGCTAAGCGTTGGTTGGCATTGGCTTGGCATTGCTTAGTATTGACTTTGCATTGCCTGGCATTGATTGGCTTTCCGTACCATTGCTAAGCAATGAGTGGCAATGCTTGAAACTGTTGGCTGACTTGGCATTGGCTTGGCATTGCTTGTGTTTGATTGACACTGCTTAGCGTTGTCTCGGCATTGGCTCGGCATTGGCTCGGCATTGCTTGGCGTTGTCTTTGAATTTCTTGGCAGTGTCTTGAATCGTTGCTTGGCATTACTTGACATTGTTTGTCATTGCTTGGCATTGCGCCGAGAATCCCTGAGCAACACCGCAGCCCGCCTCTGACGAAGAACCCCAAGGAACCCGGAGCAACGCCGTGCGACCCCAAGCAACGCGGAGAGGCGCCTTTAACGAAGGGTCCCGCAATCATCAGTCTCTTCCACAAGCAAATACTAAGAACCCCTGATGCAAAACCTCACTTGGGAAGAATGGGTCTGCGATCCCGAGGCCGCGGCCCGTCGCAAAACTGATGACCAACGACAGGACGGCGGCGGGACTTGCCGCAGGCAGCTGGACACCAATATCAGGTCCTACCATTGTGAGCAAGGTTTGCTGCGGGTGTCGCCGCGTATGCTGCCAATTCGGGACAAACGTTGCCTGCCCGACAGCTGCCGCTGCTCGTCTTGCCCCTTCCTGTCCGTCCCCATCTCTTAGGGCGTGGCTGAAGAGGACCTGGGACACACAAGTAAATAGACACAGATCCCAGGATTCCCCATAGTTCCCCGTATTCTCTGGATGTTCGTTTTCCCCCCACTTCCCATATTTTGCCATACTTTCCGTCTGGAGTGAACGGTCCCCCTGGGCCGCGTTTTCGCCCAGGGCCGGAGACGGCCTCGCGGATGCCGAGAATGGTGGCAAGACCGCCCGTCACTCTGGTGCGCCGAAGAGGGGGGGACGGGAAGGGGGGGGTAACGCACCGTTGCCCGAGGCAGGTGCGCGGACGAGGGTGGACCAGATGATGCCTGGACAGAAGAGAGCAAGGGGGCCATGACTTCTGTCGGGGGAGCGAAAACATGGATTAGCGATCCATGGATTTGGCGCGCGGTCGATCCATGGATCGGGGGAGGTGCCCTCCCCAAAGTGCGGCGGGTGCCGCCTCTCTCGGCGGCGGAAATCCGCGATTCCCCATGGAAACGGGACCCGTCGATAATCCACGCCCCCTTGATACATGTTTGCGATCGCGTAAATCTGGAAGGTTGCGTGGCCCTGGCCACAGCACCCACACACAACCCTACGTCGTCCCCCCAACCGTGCGACGCCACGTTTTTTGTTGACGTCGGGGTTCCCAGGGACCGGCATTCCACTAAGTTGTCTACCTTCACGCAGCGCGCCCCGCGATGTGCGCGGCGCGCGATGGCCTTCGCGTCTCCTTTGCGCCACCCCCGCGACACGCCCCCTGGGAGAAGGGCAGCCTCGCCAGCCCAGGCCGCGACGAGCAAAGCGCGATTGCGGTCTCGCCTTGGGGGGTGGCCCAATTCTCTCCCGAAGCGTTGTTTGGACGGCCCAGGGGTCCCGCAGAGAGCTCCCGGACGCTGAAGAGTGTCGGGGGCCTTCCGTCGCGACGCGTCCGACCACCATGGGCCCCCCATTACCCTTCGGTCCTGGGCCGTTCGCGGCGGCTTTTGGAAGGCTCTCGGCGGTTTTTTGTTCGGCGGCCTTGGGCCGTCTCCGGCGGCGGTCGGGGCGAAAGCTGGGTGGTTGCGTCCAACCAGGGGTCCATGATCGAACGCCTAAGACGAGAAGCCACACACACGCTCTCGATTGAGCAGGGGCCGACAGGACATGTTCTTAGAACCCAAAAATGTTCTGATAACCGAAGCAATGAACTTAAACCAGAAACCCGATGTGTTAAAACAGGACAGCCTGAACCAGAAATGCTCTCAAGAACATGTGTGCAAACCACAACAAAATCTTAGAACATTCGTTGGTGGGCCTAATAGGTAAGCCAGGACGCCTCGCCATTGGTTGACTCGAGGCTGAGTGGCCTGCGCGCTCCCGCCCTGCAGAGGCTGGGGGCGGGCTCGGGCAGGCGGCGTCCAACAGAAACATCACGATGACCGGGAAGCCAACCTCTGGCGGGGCCACGATCCCATCTCCCCGTGGGGAGGAAAGGGGAAAGGAAGGCCGGGAATGTGACCCAGAGGTCCGAGGCTCCGACGACATTTGGGCAGTTGGTTTTTGCCAGTTTTCGGGTTCCAGGGGCCTTCGCGGGGCCTCGGGGCAAGCAGAAGTGGCCCAGGACGAGCCTAGGGAAGCGGCCCGAACATGTAAAGACCTTCGGGGCCCCACGCGTCGAAAAATTGGCGCGCCGGATGTTTGGGGAGCCCCTAGGGGGATCGGGTAACTTCAACTGGCCACGTCAAAAACCGAGAATTGATGAACAATAAGCAGAGAGGCTGAACGTCGAGTCCGTTTGTCTGCCGCTTCTGTCCTTCCCAACTGTTTCGCACCAGCCTCTCTTTCCTAACCAGGGCCCCCCCTAACTATGGCGTTGGCTTCTTCCGTGCAGAAAAAACCACCGTGTTGGATTCTTCAGTACAGAAAGAGGACCACGAATAATACACGACGCTTGCGTAGATACACGAAAACGCTAGCACAACGCTTCAAAACCACACGAAACATAACTCATGCGTTGGCAATTCGAATATTCTCAAGCGCCCATTCCCGGCAACTCTGAACTTCAGAATGGTCGCCGCTGTGGCTGTGACAGGCTGGAAGGGGACGAAGGTCCAACTACCGCCATATCGGCCATTCAAAAACACACGAACGGTTGCCATGTTTTTGGTTCGACGGTTTGGAAACGTAGTTTATCCATTCAAGCGAGCGCGGCGACGTGAACACGAAGATATCAGTGTTATGTCGTTGGGCGGAGGGCTGTCGGAATGCCCAGCAAGTGGTTTTGAGGACAAACACGTCAGTTGGCCAGGCGGAGCCCACATCAACGCGCACACACGCACATCAGACACCCGATTGGAAACCCCGAGAGACATCCAATCCAAAGGATCCCCTCAAGAAGCCCAAACCCTAGACCCCCAGATCCCAGGCCTACGGGGGGGGGGGGGGGGGGGGCGCAAGGCGTCGACCTGAGTGGGTGATAAGGGGCCCCGATGCGGGCGCCCCCCATCTACGGGAATCGTGTGACCATGGGCCCGACCGCCTGCACAGACTCTTTCCCGGGCGCCCCTGGTCGTGCCGGACTCTCGGCACAACCGCGGGCGCCCTCAAAGCGCTGTGTGGACGGTGGCGAGCGAGCGGCCCCGCCTGCGCACGGTTGGCGCGGCGGCGCGAGACGCGCCGCGGCGTCTGCGCGGGCGCGCCAACTTGCGAGACGAAGACGGGGGCATGCGAGATTGGGCGCGGCGCGCGGGCGCGGGGTGCGAGACGAAACGTGAGATGCTTTTGCTGTCCCCTTGCAAATTGGGCCCCGCCCGTAAGTTCGCCAATGTCTCCGCCAATCAGCTCCATCCGGGGCGCCGCCCCGACCCGCGCCCAAGACCCCGCCCAAAACCCGAGCGACACAGCCCAAGACTCCACGGCGCGCGATATTGGACAAGGCGCGCAAGAGTCGAAGGGCACGCAAACACTGCGGCGTGGCATTGCGCGCGGGGTGCGACGCGGCGTTTGCGAAGATGCGCCGGAATGATAGATGTAGACGAAGGCGCGCGAGACTGGGCGTCGCGCCTGAGATGCGAGACGGCGCGTCACATGCATGTGTTTTGCCCCTGGTCTAATTGGGCCTCCCGCCCGCGAGCCCACCCGAGACTCCGAACAAGACGACCCGAGACTCCGCGGCGCCAGAGACAAGGCGCGCGATTTTGGACACGGCGCGCGAGAGTAGAACGGCAAGCGAACGCGGGGCGCGGCATGCGACGCGCGAAAAGACTGGCGAGACGCGGCAGGGCGCGTCGGTTCGACGCGGCGTTTGCGCAGATGCGCTGGCACGAAGTGAAGGTGAAGGCGCGCGAGACTGAGCGCGGCGCGCGAAATGTTCGCTGCGCCCCCGAAAGAAGGCCCCACCAGAAAGTCACTCCCAAAAAGGCCCCACCCAACGACCCAATTCATGCCTCGCGCCAGAGATCCACCCGAGGCCCCAAACAAGGCGACCCTATACTTCACGGCGTCTGAGGCCACGGGCCGGGCGCGCAAGTGGACGCGCCGCGCGAGAGACGATGGACATTCGAGCGCCGCGCGGAATGTGGCACGGCGCAAGAAAAGCGAAACGGCACGTCAGAGAGCGCGCAGGATGCGACGAGGCGCGAAACTGGACGCGGCGCGCACGAAGGCGAAATGCGAGACGGCGTGCGAGATGCGTCGCTGCACCCATTCGCGCGAGAAGCGCAGCCCCGTCACCGCGGGGCCCTGCCCAGGCAGGAATGCAAAAGGACCCCGCCCATGACTCCAGAAGACCCCGTCCAAGATTCACGCCAGAAGACCCCCCCCAGCCAAGAAGACTCACCCGAGATGAATCAAGACAACCCAAGACCCCACCACCACGTCGGATAAACTGTGGATCCGCGCGCGATGGCTGCCCCCTTCCGCGTGGAAAAGGGTCGCATCGCGAGGTGGCCCCAAACGGCCACGGAATAATATCGCAATTGCATGGCCAGCTGCTGCATTCGGGCCAATCTGCATCGAACGCGAAATGTGCGCGCCGCGCGCGGCAGCCCCAGCTTGCAGAGCAACCGCAGAATGATTTCAACGCCTCCGCGGCAAGGCTATGTCTCTCGCTGCGCGGAGTGAGCAGCCACGCGCCCCAGGCGCGCGGGTGGTCGGCGCGCGCCGAGCCGGCTCCGCTGGCGCGAGCAAAGAGAAGTGCGCTTCGCGCGTGCTCAGAGCATGCATGGCCCAGGTTGGGGAAGGAGGGGGAGGAGGGGCGTGCGTTCATCCCCAAGTATCGCTTCGCGGCAGTCTCAGATGTCGCAATCTCTTCCGTCGCAGACCGCCCGCCCACCGCGCGAGGCAAAAGACCCGCTCCGCCGCCAAGGGGCCATCGCAAACGATTCACTCTGATGGGCATCGCTCCTGCGTTGGGAACGCTGGCGATCAAATCCCCGTCGTCGCCGGCCATTCCAATTAAAACATCCGCCCTGCAAATTGGAGGGGCACATCCCGTTATGGCCAACGCCCGTGGTTTCTATGACTTTATCGATGCTGGGCCAAACCTTGCCAACAAGATCGCTCTCGTCCGCCGCGCAGAAGGTGCACCGCGCGCGCGTCGCAGCATCGCCAACCTGCTAGGGTTCTCAAACAAGGTTGACACCACGGCCGTTGCAAAAGTCGCGGGGCCTCCATTTGTCGCCCAATCCGCGCCGCCACTGCGGGGCGACAGAATCTGGCCCACGAGTCGATGAACGTCGCTCGCCCGGTAGAGACTGGAGCTGGAGGCGCGGCCGCGCCTGGCGGCGCCGAGAGGAGCGGCGCATGGCCCCGCGACACGGCAAAAACATATTTTTCACGCGGGTTGCCTTCAACATTGCCTGCGCGGGGTTCTCGGGCCAGCCGCCGCCGCCATCATCATCTTACCCGAGAAAAGCAGCGTCGTCGCAATCATTGCCGCGCAGGTCGATGCCCCCGAGGACTTCTACACCGTGCGCTGCCGTCTGGGCGCTGTCTCCTTAAGCCTCGTCGAGATCACGCCCCGCGTCGCAATTTGCCGGCGCGTCGCGCGCAGCCGCCGGCGCGTCACCCTCGCCGACCTGCGACTGAGGCTGGAGTGCGAGATTGCCAATCACAGCCCGGGGGGGCTGGTTTCCTTGACCTCATCGAACCCCTGCGGGGTCATCGCTCGACTCTGGGGTCGCGGGCCCTCTCGTCCTCCGCCCCCCTTGTCTTAGAAATCTCAACGCAGCCCGTGCGACCAGGCCCGTAATTTGTCTGGCCAGTATTCTCCTCTGTGCATTTTCCCACGCAGTGTCAGGTCGACTGTTCTTGCAGTAATCGCGATAGCCTCCGCGGGAGATCCAAGGGCCCAAATCGCGCGCTCCACGCGGGCGCTCAAGAATCATAGCCGCAGAAGAAGGCCCAGCAATAAATGCGAGCGCAGATCGACGGCCCCAGTGCGCATCCACGCAAACGGGCGGGAAGTCACCCGAAATCTCTTTAGCTTCGCCCATGGCACGTGGGAGAGACGGCGCGTCCTTGTCAAGGCTGAGAAAGTCCCAACTGCCCTCGGTCTGGTCGGCGCAATCCTTGTTCCTGTCACCGTGGATCTCCCCATCCAAAGCCCCCGCTGCATCGCCTCGAAGACGCGCGCGCTCCGGCGCGAGGCCCCCTGTAAGCGACTGCCGTTGGACGGCAGAGCAACCCCCTAAAGAGTGACGAGACACGAGCAGCGGCCGCTCGATAGACGGCCCGATTTCGGCCACGGCCTTGCCACTGCCGCCCGCGCCCCCCGCGCCGCGAGCACGCGCGCCCCAAGCTGCTGCCGCGTCGCGCGGGAACCCCGAGAGCATGGGGCAAGAAATCCAGTCCCGCGTGACCGGCGCACCTCGCCATTGAAAACTGCCCGGGGCATTCGGCGCGTCAGGCCGCGGGCCGGGGCGGGGGCGCGCGGGGGTTCTCTCGCCGCGAGAAATCCAGGCATCGCATGTCGCGCCCCGCGGGCCGGCCATCGGCCGAACTTCGCGCGGAAGGACCGCGCGTCGAAAATGCTCAACGCGTGGGGCCCCCCAGATGCGCATCTACCTGCATGGACCCGTCGCCGCGCGCGTCTAGGCGCAATGGGGCTTCCGAATAAAATGGCATAAGGTGCATGCGTTTTTTCTCCGCACGGTCGAGTGCGAGCGTCAGTTTGGTCGATGCACGGGGGATTCGGAATGCGAGTGGGTCTGAGAATGCGCAAGCCACAGCATGAGTGTGTCCGAGCGAATGTGACTCTGAGAGCGGGCAAGTCTGGTCGCGGGTGGCACTGAGCACGAGCACTACGAATGTGAGTCTGGCCCTGACACGGTCTGAGCACGAGCGAGTCTAACTGCGACTGGCTCTGAGGGGGGGGGTCCGAGTGTGAGTATATTGAGTTTGAGCAAATTTGAACGTGAGCAAGTCCGAGTATGATCACGCAGAATACGGAC